GCTCAGCGGTTAGAGCGACAGCCCACGGATTGAAGAGTCACGGGTTCAGTTCTGGTCAAGGGCACGTACCTCAGTTGCAGTTCAGTCTCCGGCCCTGGTCGGGGTTGTTTGGGAGGAAACCAATCGATGTCTCTCTCACATCAATGTTTCTCTTTCTCTCCCTCCCTTCTACTCTATCTAAAAGTTGTGTTACTTCCAATACCCAAAAGTGGGAACAACCTAAGTGCCCATCAACAGATGAATAGATAAACAAAATGCGTTTTTAGATACAAATGCAATATTATTCATCCCTAAAAAGAAATGCAGTTCTGGTACATGCCACAACATGGATGAACCTTGAAAACAGTATGCTAAGTGCAATAAGCCAGACACAAAAGAACAAGTATTGTATGATTCTACTTAGATGAGATATCTAGAATAGTCAAATACATGGAGACCAAAAACAGAACATTGGTTACGAGGAACAAGTTTGGGGATCAGGAGAATGAGGAATTATGGTTTGACAATATGAAGTTTCAATCTGGGGCGATGAAAAAGCTCTGGAGATGGATGGTGGTGACAGTTGCATAACAATTTGAACGTGCTTAATGCCACTGAACTGTGTATTTTTTTTAAAATTATTTTTATTAATTTATTTTTGTTACAGATATTCCTCCTTTCCCCCCCTTTGACACCCTCCTCCTGATCCCGCCCGCACCACACCCCCCGAATTGTGTATTTTAAAATGGTTAAAATAATAACCTTTATGTTATGTATATTTTGCCACAATAAAGAAAACAGTGGTATGATTTTAGCCAATCCTTTTTATTTTTTTAATGTCTCAATTTCCTTATTTGGAAAATATAGATGAAAATAAAGCATGCTTTGACCCAACACAGACCTTACACACATCACAAGCTCAACCTTCCCTCACATACCCACACACAAGGTCGTTGTAAGGGTCAACTGAGAGCGCATGTATATGAACTGGCTTTGCAAGTAGTAAATGGTTATATAAATAAAATAATATTACTAATAGTTTAAATTTATGAAGTGCTTACTGTTTGCCATAGACTGATTTAAAGGCTTTACATATCAACTTTACATATCACAAGAAGATTAAATTAAATTAGACCAACTACGTTAAAACCAACTGGGTGGTTCACAACGGGGTACTTTTGCCTCGCAGGGGACATTTTACTATGTCTGGAGACTTTTTTTTTTTTTGGTACGTGCCCCTTAGCAGGAACCAAACCCAGGACTCTCTGGTCTGCAGGCCGACGCTCCAACCGCTGAGCCAAACCGGCCAGGGCTGAGACATTTTTGTTGTCACAACTCAGGCATGCTGCTGGCATCTGGTGGGTAAAGGCCAGGGATGCTGCTGAAAAAATGATTCAGCCCCAAATGTCAGTTGTACCGAGAATGAGACACCCTGCCCTAGGTTATAACATGTTGCATTGGAGAGAGGGTAATTGCTTCTTTAAGTTTGAGCTTTGAGTGTTTTTATAAAAAAATAGGACTTTACTATAACAATGTACATTCAGGTTTGCAGTGCTGTTTATACAGAGCCAGTGAAATATTAACATATGTGGTTTAGATAAGACCTCCTGCTGGGCTGCAGTGTCTGGAACCGGTTTCTGTCTGAGTGTCTATAATTCAAACGGAACTATATTCAGCTTGTTCAGACTGGGCCAGACCAGAGGACTCACACCATCCCAGTTCTACCCTACTACTGATAGGCTTCTGAAAGGCAATTAAAAAAATCATAGCAGGATCTAGATTCTTTTATCTCCTGGGGTATTTATATTATCCAAGAATTAAGAAACTTTGAGAAATTGACAATCATTTAGTGAACATTACTTAGTTAATGTTATGCTTAGTTTGGGTGCTAACAAATCTCATGCAGCCTGAGATAAACCGGTGAACTATATCTTTCATTTATTTTTTGTTATTTTGGGATCAGAATGTTCATGTTCTCAACAATGCTCAAAGCATAGCATCTGCCCCTTAATTTTTTGTCTAGGTTTTGGAGACTTTTGTTTGTATGTCTTGATGACATCAGTGGCTTAATTTCTACAGCTTTTCATAACAAGAAACATGTTTAGTTCACTCTGATCTCATTTTAGGTCAGTTGTTTCCTCCGGATATGAATGAAGTCACCGTGAGTTTATCACGAATTTGTCTTTACATCACACTGTAGGATAAATTGCTTTGGGGAAACTTTTCTTGACTAAACTGATGCCATTCATAGCATTAATATTCTTAGTAAACTTGAAATATTTTTTGAATATTGTCTGCTCTTTTCTTTTCCCTTTTTGACAGAAATGTAATTATTGTTGCACAGGTATTAACCAGAAAGGTAAGAAATAGAACAGCATAACTGGCATATTTATAATTTGGAGCAGAAATAATAATGCTATGAATATTAATAATAGCATCTACATAGCAAATGCAAGTGAAGGAGAAAGAAGGTTTATGAGAGGATTCTGGCGGAGGTGTCATCCAAGTCAGATGTTAGCTTCTGATAGAGACATTCCACTCGGAGTGAGTGTCACTGGCACACTAGGGAGCACAGAGGAGTTGATATGATATTGTAATCGAGGTGGGTAGGAGGTACATAATGGTGAAAAGAAAGGTCCACATTATTTCTTTGGAGATCATAAAATGAGGTAGTTATGGAATTTATGCACATGAATCCAATGTTTGTTCAATTTAACTAGAGTAAAAGTTTAGGGACATAGTCTCTTCAAATAAATCACCCCCCCCCCCTATTTTGGAGGGTTTTTTTCAGTTCATCAGGGATTCTGTGTAAGGCCAAATTGACAAAGAACTAGTAGGCAGTCTTGAAGGTCATGTAATCTTCTCCTTGAGGCTCCAGTCCCCACGTCACATCTCACAGAGAGCCTCAGCATATTTTTGGTTTATAAGACCTCTTGTTTCATCTCTACGTATCAATCCTACTTCTTTCCCTGTGGTAACAAAGAAAGAGTCTTAATCTCTATAGTCTACTTCTCAACCTTGCTTTCCTTGTTCCCCAAATCATTATTCTTTCCTATTAATTCCACTCTCTTCCTGACACAGGACCTGTCTCTTTTGCTTTCAACTATTTTCTGATCTCTCCACTATAAAAATATTCAGTGACATCTTTACTCACCTTGACCCCATTTGCCATCCTGTCTGTCATATTTTCCTGTCAAATGAATCTATGGTAATTACTTCTGCTTTCTGGCTACTCATTTCCTTGCAGGGTAGAAATCTGTTGCCCCTTTTCTCTCCACCCGGAGCAGAGTGCTATGCTGTCTTAAATAGAAGGAGCTACATGAACTCACAGGAAGGGCAAATCCCCAGTCCTGAAGATGGGGGGAGGGGGGACAGAAATGGGACCTAATGGATGAGCAGGGGTTTGCAGATGATGAAGGGAATATGAGTTCCAGATATAGGAAACCATGTGGGCAGGTACTGAGAAGTGAGAGATTGTGGCACATTCAAGGAACAGGAAGTTCTATCTTGGAGAAAAGAGTGTGGGGTAGAGAGAGAAGATGAAGGATGTAGCAGAGGTTCAGTCACTCAGAATCATAGCATCAATGAGCTAGTACAAGTATTTGAGCAGGGCTGCTGTCACCAGATTGAGAAATGCTGTAGGATAAAGAATGCACTGGAAAAAGGACAAGAACAGATGAAGGGAGACCAGTTAGATTTTTCAGAAATCCAGGTCCAAGATGATGGCGGCCTGAATGAGGGTTGTGGCAAAGGAGATATTTAGGAGATAGACCAATAGAAGAAATGGGCATTTGTTTAATAACTGAATAAATATATAAATAACAGCTGGTATGTTTTAGGGACTGTTCCAGGTATTGGAGATAGAGCAGTGAAGAAAATTTGTAAAAACAAATCACTTCCCTTGGGAAGCTTGTGTTGTAGGGGCAATGAAGACAATAAGGAAGATGAATAAGCAAAATATCTAGTTTGCTCCATAATGCTCAATGCCGAGCAGGATAGCAGAGAAGAGGGAGAAATGGAATCTTGCAGGACATGGCTGTGTAGGCGTGGTTGCAGTTTTCCATATGGAGTGAGAAATTCTGGGAAGACCTGAGGAAAATGACTTAAAGGAAAGAGGGAGCTAGCCTTGTGAATATCTGGAGGACCAGTGTTGCTAGAATGAATTTAAAGAGGGTGAGGATTGTGTGATGGTTAGTTTTCCAGGTCAACATGGCTAGGCTATATTTCCCAATTACTCAGTCAAACATGAATCTAGGTGTTGCTGTAGATGTGGTTAGCATTTATAATCAGTGCTCATTAAATAAAAGAAAAGAACTCTTGATAATATGGATGGGTCTCATCCAATCGGTTGGAGGACTTGAAAGCAAAACTGAGCTTTCATTGTGCTGTAGACCGAATGTTCATGTCCCCTCCAAGGTTCATATTTGGACCAAATCCCCAGTGTAGTAGTGGGGCCTTTGAGAGGTGATTAGGTCATGAAGGTGGAGCCCTCATGAATGGAATTAGTGTTCTTATAAAAGAGACCCCAGAGACAACAGGCTGGCTGGCTGTGAACCAGGGGAATGAAACAGTCTTTCATTCACCAGATATCATATCTGCAGGTGGCTTGATCTTGGACTTCCAGCCTCCAGATCTGTGAGGAATAAATTTCTGTTGTGTATAAGGCATCCAGTTTTTAGTACACTGTTAAACAGCCTGAACTAAGATGTTCTGAATAAGAAGAAATTCTGCCTCAAGACTGCAGCATCAACTTCTAAGAGTTTCCTGTTCGCCAGTCTCCTCTAGATTTCAGACTTGCTAGCCTTCCACAATCACGTGACCAGTTCCTCAATTCCTTGAAATTATCTCTTTCATGTATTTGTGTATGGATATATGGATATATGGATGTATATAAAATCTACTGGTCTGTTTCTTTGGAGAACCCTGACAAATACAGGTAGTAGGATAGAGGGTAAGAAGACTGGATTGCATATCACATTGTAGGCCCTGGTAAGGACTTTAGCTTTAACTTTTAGATGACAGTGCTCCCTTTAGCAGCACATACACTAAAACTGGAACAATATGAGAAGATCAGCATGGCCCCTGTGCAGGAATGGCATGCAAATTCGCCAAGTGCTCCACATTAAAAAAGTTTTAGATGAGAAGCCAATGGAGAATTTTGAGCTGAAACAAGACATGATCATATATATATATATTTTATCCTCACCTGAGGACATTTTTGCATTTATCTTCAGACAGAGTGGGAGGGAGAGAGGGAGGAAGAGAGAGAGAAACATCCATGTAAGAGAGACTGGCTACCACCCACAGGACCCCAACCGGGGCCAGGGACGAACTGCATCTAAGGTGTGCCCTTAGTGGGAACCAAACCCGGGACTCTCTGGTCCACAACGATGCCACAACCACTGAGCCAAACCGGCCAGGGCTGATCTCATACTCAAAAGAATCATTCTGGCTGCTGTGTTGGGAACAGCACAAAGGGGAACAAGAGGTGATAGTGACTTAGATCGCAGTAGGGTGATAAGAGGTGATAGAATTCTGTAATATTTTCAAGACAGGGCAAATAGAGTTGTTTATATCATGGATGAGGGGAGACAGACGGATCAAGGATGACACCATGTTTTTTGAGCAATCGGAATAATGAGGTTTGGAGCAGTTTCGGGATAACATCAAAAGCTTAATTTTGGGAATATTACCTTAAAATGCTTGTTGGCCATATAGACAGAGATGTCAAGAAGGCATTTGGATATGTGTTCAATGTTCAGAGGAGAGATTCAGGCTGGAAATATAAATGTGGGAACAGTGACTGACATGGAATGTGCGTGGTAGGGATTAGAGGATTTTGGTGAGGTGAGGAATGAGGGTCAAGAGAAGGAGGGGGCAGGTATAGCCCCAGGTTTCTGTTAGAAGTGCCCTTCTCTGTTAGGGAACACAGATGGGATGGAGAGATGTTTGTTTTTGCACATGTTGATTATTTAACTGGAACTGGAGATAATCCAGCAGGTTATGTAATCTAATTTGATCCTTTAAAATTTTTTTTCTTTTATTGATTTTAGAGAGAGAGAAAGTGAGAAGGAGAGACAGAAACATTGATGAGAGAGAACATCAGTTGGCCACCTCCTGCATGCCCTCCACTGGGGATCAGGCCCACAACCTGGGCATGTGTCCTGACCAGGAATAGAACTGATGACCTCTTAGTGCATGGGCCAACGCTCAACCACTGAGCCACAGCCCCTGGACTAATTTGATCCTTTTATAGGTGAGGAAACTGAGGTTCCAGAACAGCTAGCTTGAATTAGATTGCCCTGTGATCTTTTCACAGTACTGGAGTACTGGTGGCTATAGAGAAGACTATAAAAACAAAAGGCACATCTCCCTGAGGTTGACCAGTTACCCCTAGAAAAAAAAATCAACAAAAACTTGAGTAGTCAGATTGACTTCAAGGTCAAGTGCGAATTCTTATCTATTTGGGGGAAGAATGTGATGTTCAGTGTGGATTAAGACTATCCCAACATTTTCAGGCTCTGCATTTTAATATCAGGAAATTATACAGCAGTGATATAAGGCCAGGCTGGACCTTTTTTTTTTATCCTCACCCGAGGACATTTTTTTGCATTTATCTTCAGATAGAGTGGGAGGGAGAGAGGGAGGAAGAGGGAGAGAGAGAAACAAAGACATAAGGGAGACACATTGACTGGCTGCCATACACACACACACACACACACACACACACTCGGGGCCGGGGACGAACTGCAACCAAGGTACATGCCCTTAGCAGGAACCGAACCCGGGTCTCTCTGGTCCACGGGCCGATGCTCTAACTGCTGAGCCAAACCAGCTAGGGCAGGGCTGGACCTTTTTCAAGTCCTAGCAGCCCCGTGGCAGAGCTCCACGGTGACAGAAGGGCTCAGAGAAAGGCTTTATGGTGTGTCATTGGAAGGCCGGTTCCTTGCCAGTCAGGATTTCTGTGTCCCTGGTACAGAGAGCGCCATCTGTCATCAAGGACCACAAAGACCACAACAGTTGACATGAGGCATCTTCCTCATTTACTCCAAAACAATGTAAATCTCTGATTTTGGTGTGGCTTTCAGAAGTAGCCCAATGGCTGTTAACCTGTTGAGAAGTGGGTTCAAAGATAACGCTAACTTCATTCAAATGAAAATTAGATGTTTGCAAACTGTAGCGTCACAGCAGTAATTGCCTGACACTGGTCTTTTAAGTGCTAAGAACTGAATTCAGAACCCCTGCAGTACTCATTCCACCATCCACCTTCCAGCAGAGTAGGGCTCCAGCCTCAAACGTTCCCGAGTTTCTCCTGCTGTGTTCACAGCTGTTTCAAGTCCACAATGCCCACTGCACAGGACTGCGGGGGCTTACATGGCAAACTGTTCCTAGCATGTGGTTAATATTAAAAAGACAACAACAACCCGATTACCATTCTGTCAGCTTAATATCCAAGAAGCAGTACTTAACCATAATGGTTAAGGTCAATGTTCAACCAAGCGTTTATTTCAGACAAGTGTGTTAAAAGCCAAAACACGTTTATTATGAAAAGAGGAAAGTTATCAGTGCACTTTGAACCTCAGTTATCTCACGAAAGCGTCACTATCGGCTTTCCCCTAGCCTTTCTCCTCACGGTTCACTTGGCAAACTGGAACAGGTATAACTCAATTAAAAGAATAATCAATGCACTATTTCAAAATGAGCTAGAAGCTGACCGTGCAGACTTCTGGTGTCCTTGTAGATGCAATACCGCGCGTGTAGCAGAGAAATGAAGTCCAGGACTCAGCGCAATGATGGTTTGGAAAGCAGGCGTTTTTACTGAGATGTGTCTTTACACCAATTAAATGTTGAATACAGCCCAACAGTAACTGTATTTTGATTCTCTACAGAAGGTAGTTGATGGAAAGGAAGAAGAAATTTACTGTAGGAATGATACCTTCTGAAGTTTTTTGTACGGTGTAGAACCTATAGTATAACCTTCCTTAAACAGGTGGTCACCCTGGCCTTGGACTCTGCAGTGGCTTCGGTGGGATTACGTCACTTGTTCGGTAAGTCTAGCGTTTAGGCTAGCACCTGACGCGTGTTGAATAAATACTAATTCCTGCTTATAAAATGGATCAAAGTCTTTTACCATGAAGTGTCTGAACCTAAATGTGGTTCATTCGCGACATTTCACAAGGGTCAGCCATTCGGATTTGTGTTTTCTGAGTATGAACTTTCTGATATGAAGACCAAAGTTCTTTATTTCGTATGTACGTTCTTTGCGTGTCTAACGCAGTCTTGAAATTATTTTTCTTGCATAGAAATCCAACAAACCTGTTTATTTTTTTCAATTTATAGGTCTGAACTTGTATTACCATTTCACTGAGTTTCACTCCCATCTGAGAAATTTCCAGACATGAAAAAAAAAAAATAAGAGAAAAGAACCAGACCTTTGTGTACATAATTTATTTTCCTTTCATTTGAAGGTTAAGCCATGTTCTGTTCAAAACAACAAGATGGAAACAACACAAGTTTAAGTACGATCCATTCATTATTGTTGCCACTCAGGTACATTCTCACAATTTTCTGCTTTAAATCCCAATGGTTTATTTTTGCAACATGTGTCCACCTCCAGTTTCCTTGTGCTGAAATGTGTGGCCCTGAAAGTAAAGTCTCTCGCAGGAAACAGTGGTAAAGTGCAGGATGAAATGTTTGAACATTTCTTACATCGCATGAAATTCATTATGAAATGCTACTGGGTATAGTCCTTCAGTTTATTTCGAGAACTTAAAGTTTCTATTTTATGTACATTAGAAAAAGGAAACGTGAATTATATAAAATGTAAGTGCAATTAAAAATAAAAATATATCTTAAACATTTATAGTACAAATTCTGCAAAGCGTTTAGATGAGCCACGGGATCTTAGAAATTATTATAAAACTGCTTTTATTCTTTTTCTCCATTTCCCATGAGGCCCCTGCTCAGGTATTTCTCTCTGTATCTTATGAAATTAGCTTCCAGCTATAGAAGAGGGATAACATAGGAGGACTGCCAGAGCCTCACCAGGTGATATGGAAGAAAAATAAAAAAGATAAGAAAGGCAGAAGTCCAACCATTAAAATCCTGATTAATATTAAATGAAATAAATTGAAACCTTGTAAATCGATTAAAAAACAACCACAAGCACTTATTGCCCTTTAATTTTATATCCAATAACTGCATCAAACTTAACGTTGATCTTTTGCTTTAAAATTCCCATGAAACGCTCAGGAAGCATCCTAAAAGAAAGACACATGAACATAATTAGGAAATTAATATCAAGTGCATTTTTTAGATATCTTCTCTTAAAATACTTATGTTTCTCATGAATCATCATGTCCATGTTCATTTTAAACAGGACTAACAAATTTTTTTTTGTAATCCTCACTCGAGGACATTTTTGCATTTATATTCAGATAGAGCGGGAGGGAGACATGGAGGAAGAGAGAGAGAGCGCGAAACATCGATGTGAGAGAAACACATAGACTGGCTGCCACCCACACGACCCCAACCAGGACCGGGGACAAACTGCAACCGAGGTACGTGCCCTTAGTGGGAACCAAACCCGGGTCTCTCTGGTCCGCAGGCCGACATTCTAACCGCTGAGCCAAACCGGCCAGGGCAGGATTAAGAATTTTAACACATAAGTCACTTGTATATGTTCTTTCCAATTAAATCCACTTCCTTTTCCAAAGGAAAAAGGTTTAATTCTTTAGGGGAGAAGTGACTTGAGAGTTGTATCTCTCTGGCCCCGGTCACACTCCAGACCAATTAAATCAGAATCTTGGGGAGTAGGTCTCAAGCACCAGCATTTTTAAAACTCCAGGTGAATTCCAATGTGCATCAAAGTTGAGAGCTACTACCCTGGCCGGTGGCTCAGCAGTTAGTGTTGCCTGGTGGATCAAAGGGTTGAGGGTTCAATTCGTGGTCAAGGGCACGTATGTGTGTTGCAGGTTCAATCCCTGGCCCCAAGGCGCATGTGGGAGGCTACCAATGGATGTGTTTATCTCACATGGATGTTTCTCTCTCTTTTTCTCTTGCTCTCTCTCCCTCCCACCCTGTCTAAAAACCAATGGGAAAAAACATCCTCCAGTGAGAGGGCGAAAAATTATCCCCTCCCCCCAAAAAAGTTGAGAACTACTGCTCTAAAGAAATGCTTCTAAATCTAAATATGCTGCATACAAATCACCCAGGAAGCTTATTAAAATGCAAATTCTGATTCAGGCGATCAGGAGATTCTGTATTTCTAACAAACTCCGAGGTGATGCTGATGCTGCTGGCTGGGGATCACATCTGAAATAGCAAGGCTGAGGGATCTCTAAAATTATTTAGCAATTCCTATTGCTTCAGTATGATTTTGCACAAAATAAGAGCTCAGTGATTATCTGCTATATATTTAAATGAATACATAAACTTAACTATGGTCTCCTCCAATATCACTGTCCTATGATTCTATTATGTACTAATGTTTAAAAACTGTCCCTCCACCCTGGCCGGTTTGGCTCAGCAGTAGAGTGTTGGTCCTCGAACCAATGAGTCTTGGATTCGATTCTGATCAAGGTCACATGCCTCGGTTGCGGTTCTCCCTGGCCCTGGTCAGGGTCGTGCAGGAGGCAACCGGTCGATGTGTCCCTCCCATGTCGATGTTTCTCTCTCTCTCCCTTTCTCTCTCTCTCTCTCCCTCCCACTCTATCTGAAGAGAAACAGAAAAATATCCTCAGGTGAGGACTAAAAAAAAAAACAACAAGCCCTGGCCAGTTTGGCTCAGCGGTTAGAGCGTTGGCCTGTGGTCCAGAGAGACCTGGGTTCTGTACCTGCTAAGGGCACGTACCTCGGTTGCAGTTTATCCCCGGCCCTGGTTGGTCGTGTGGGAGGCAGCCACTCGATGTGTCCCTTTCATGTGGATGTTTCTCTCTCTCTCTCTCTCTCTCTCTCTCTCTCTCTCTCTCTCTCCCTCTCCCTCTCCCTCTCCCTCCCACTCTATCTGAACAAAAAATGGAAAAATGTCCTCAGGTGAAGATAAAAAACAAAAATAAAAAATAACTGTCCTTCAACTTCATTCACTTATAAGACAAGACTTCCAAAAATATAAACCTTTCTTTCTTTCTTTTTTTATTCCTTACCCGAGAATATTTTTCTATTTATCAGTAGATACAGTGGAAGGGAGGGAAAGTGAGAGAGACAGAGAGAAACATCGATGTGATAAAGCCACATCGACTGGTTGCCTCCCACATGACCCAACTAGGGCTGGGGATGAACCGCAACTGAGGTACATGCCCTTGGCTGGAATCGAACCCGAGACTCACTGGTCCACGGGCCAATACTCTAACCGTTGAGCCAAACTGGCCAGGGCCACAAACTTCTTTCTTAAAAAAAAACAACTTAAAAACTTGTGAAAATTATTCATTTACCCAATTGCTAAACTAATCTTGCTTCGATCACTAATGAATATAGTTTGAAAATTGATGGATTCTTCAAACCTATTATTTTTGTTAACTTAATTCCATTTCATTCTACTTCACAAAAATTTGGTATTAAATCTGAGTAAAGCAGGTAGGCTGAATATTCACAATGCTGGCAAACATAACTGTTGCTTACCTTTCCACCACTGTTAAAACGCTTATAGAAGATGGAACAAAAATCATTTTCTGGTCAGTCAGGATCCCCTTCATCAGCTTGCTTACCACTTCCTCAGGCTCCAGGGTGGGTCCCAAACTGAAACCAGAAGCAGTCTTCAGAAACAAATCATTTCACTGAGGCTTCCCCTTTAGGTGAGTGCTAAACAAACAGGTTAAATTACCACAGGAACCGGAGCATCTACCCACCATAGGTGCTCAAACATGGCAGCTGCTGTGTGCTGGTAATAACACACATTTATGTGGTGCTTATCATGTACTGCCCACCGTGCCACGCATTTTACACAGATTCTCGCCTTGAAGTTTTACAACACCCTATGAAGGACAGACGATAGTCCCCATTATGCAAATGAGAAGTATAAAAGTAATTAAGACTCAAAAATAATTTAGCTAGCCCTGGCCGGTTTGGCTCAGTGGTTAGAGTGTCGGCCTGCAGTCCTGAGAGACCCAGGTTCAGTTCCCGCTAAGGGCATGTACGTCGGTTGCAGTTTGTCTCGGCCCTGGTTGGGTCGTGTGGGTGGCAGCCACTCGATGTGTCCCTTTCACGTCGATGTTTCTCTCTCTCTCTCTCTCTCTCTCCCACCCACTCTATCTGAACAAAAAAAAAAAGGAAAAATGTCCTCGGATAAGGATAAAAAATATATATATTTAGCTAGATTAAGACTGATATATTCACTTTTAAATATTTAGAAGCTTTGGGAAAGATGTCAGATACCATTATACAAGTGTTATTATATACTAAGACATTTTAGTGAACAATTTCTAAAGTGTCAGAGGAATTAAAATGCAGAAACATGTCTGGCTCCTTGATCTCTACATAGAACCCTAATATGACTCTGATGATCTAACTTCACCACTTTATTAGGTCTTCATTTAATTTTCAGTGCTGTGGCCCGGCTGCTTTGGCTCAGCAGTTAGAGCGTCGGCCCGTGGACCGGAGAGTCCCGGGTTCGGTTCCCGCTAAGGGCACGTCGTACCTCGGTTACGGTTTGTCCCAGCCCTGGATGGGGTCGTGTGGGTGGCAACAACTCGATGTGTCTCTCTCACATCGATGTTTCTCTCTCTCTCTTCCTCCCTCTTTCTCTCCCGCTTTATCTGAAGATACACGCAAAAATGTCCTCTGGTGAGGATAAAAATATAAAAAAATAAAATAATTTTCAGCGTTGTAACTTAGTTCCATGTTACATGCAGAGTGGAGTAGAGAAGATAACAGGACTTATTAAATATGAGAGGATAACCCTGGCCAGTTTGGCTCAGCGGTTAAAGTGTCAGCCTGTGGTCCAGAGAGACCCGGGTTCGGTTCCCGCTGAGGGCACATACCTTGGTTGCAGTTTGTCCCCGGCCCTGGTTGGGTCGTGTGGGTGGCAACCACTCCATGTGTCCCTTTCACATCAATGTTTCTCCCTCTCTCTCTCTCTCTCCCCCTCCCACTCTATCTGAACAAAATATGGAAAGGTGTCCTCGAGTGAGGATTAAAAAATAGTAACAATAATAATAAATATGAAAAGATAATTGTCAGCCTTTCTAATAAACAAAGATATATTAATATAACACAAAAATACCATTCTTTCCTATCATATTGACAAAAATTAAAAGTGTGCTAATATTCAAAGCTGAAAAAGTGAGGAGAATAGGAAATTTATATCCTGCTGGTAGGAGGATAAATTAGAACAATCCTTCTGAAGGGTAATCTAATAAATCTAATAAGTAAGAGTAAATAAGTTTCTACTCCTTGTTCCAGCAATTCTGTTTCAAAAAACCAATTAAAACAAAATGGTTGGAAAAGTGAGCAAAGATACACACACATATTAAAAATATAGACATAAAACACATATATGTAGATGTATACATGCACACACAAACAAGGATACACATTTATTACAACAATAAAAGATTAGAGATCTAAATGTCATTTCACAGAGAAGACGTTCACCCAGATTACTGGACTAAGATTAAAAAGAATAAGGTAAGAGAGCTCTTTATATATCAACACAGAAAGCTAACAGCAGCAAATTGGTTTGTGTTCGTGTGTGTGTGCATATTTTTTAAAACATATTTTTATTGATTTTTAGAGCGAGAGACTGAAAATTGATGTGAGAAACATCAATTGGCTGCTTCCTGTACACCCCCTACTGGGAATCAATCCTAAAATCTGGGCACGTGCCCTGACCAGGAATTGAACCACGACCTCTCAGTCCATGGGACGATGCTCAATCCACTGAGCCACACTGGCTGGGCAAAAATTTATTTTATTTTTCAATTACAGTTTAAAGTCAATATTATTTTGCACTAGTTTCAGGTATACAGCACAGTGGTTAGACAATCATATACTTTACAAAGTATTCCCCCGATATTTCCAGTACCCACCTGGTACCGTACATAGTTGCTATAATATTATTGACTACATTCTTTCTGTTGTATTTTACATCCATGACTATTTTGTAACTACCAATTTGTACTTCTTAATCCCTTCACATTTTCACCCAGTTTTGTTTGTTTATATTGTTCACATAAAAGTAAAAACCAGCCCTGGCCGGTTTGGCTCAGCAGTTAGAGCGTCGGCCCATGGACTGGAGAGTCCCAGGTTCGGTTCCTGCTAAGGGCATGTACCTCGGTTGCAGTTTGTCCCCAGCCCCGGTTAGGGTCATGTGGGTGGCAACCACTCGATGTGTCTCTCTCACATCCATGTTTCTCTCTCTCTCTCCTCCCCCCCTCTCCCTCCCGTTCTATCTGAAGATAAATGCAAAAATGTCCTTGGATGAGGATTAAAAAAAAAAAAAAGTGAAAATAGTATGATATTTATCTTTCTCTGTCTGACTTAAATCACTTAGCATAATACCCTGTAGGTCTATCCATGCTGTTACAAATTACAAATGGTATGATTTCATTCTTTTTTATGGCTAAGTAATATGCCATTGTATATATGTACCACTGCTTTTTTTTATCCACCTGTCTATTGATGGGTACTTGGGTTGCTTCTATATCTTGGCTACTGTAAATAACAGCATATTGTTAAGTTAAAAGGGAAGCTTACAGAATAGTATGTTTCCACGTACCAGAAAAAGAAATGCATTAAATTAAGAGGTGTAGCCTCTTAAATTGGGAAGCTATAACTGGAAATCTAATTTTTCAATAAAGTGGTTATCTCTGGAAGAGCAACATCTTTGAAGAGGCTTTTCTCTATATTATTTAAATTGTTTATAACCATACACATTATCAGAAATAGAATAAAGGTATTTCTAACAAAACATTTAATATGCATTTTTAAAATTATGATTCTCAGGTCAGGAAAACACTTCGATAAAATTTTGTTAAAAAAATAAAGGTAGGAATAGTAGGGCATTTGGAATCTAGGATCTAGGGAGAAATTCAGTCTGCCCCTTCGGGACTATGTGACCTTGGGCAATTTTCTTAACTCCTCCAAGTTCCCATTTGTCCATAATATGGCCATAGTAATACTTATCTTGCAGAACTGTTAAAAGGATTAGGTCAGGAGGTAGGTAATCTATAGCCTGGGGCCAAATCTAGATTAGAGGTAATTTATGTAAGGTATTTAGACCTAGTAAGTTATCTGGTATTTAGTAAATCTTCAATAAATGCTTTTAATAAAAATGATTTCTTGATATCCAAGTTTATTTAACAAAAAGAATTCTTAGCAGTCAAAAATTACTCAGAACATGCCCTGGCCAGTGTGGCTCGGTTATTTGAGCGTAGTCCCATGCATCAAAAGGTCGTAGGTTTGATTCCCAGTGGGGGGCCTACAGGAGGCAGCTGATTGATGTTTCTCTCTCTCCCCCTCCCTTCCTCTCTCTCTAAAATCAATAAAAACACGTTTTTTAAAAAGTTAATCAGAACGCCCTGGCCGGTTTGGCTCAGCGGTTGGAGCGTTGGCCTGCGGTACAGAGAGGCCCGGGTTCAGTCCCCGCTAAGTTGCAGTTTGTCCCCGGCCCTGGTTGGTCGTGCGGGTGGCAGCCACTCGATGTGTCCCTTCACATCGATGTTTCTCTCTCTCTCTCTCTCCCTCCCGCTCTATCTGAAAAAAAAATGGAAAAATGTCCTCGGGTGAGGATAAAAAAAAAAAAAGTTAATCAGAACACCTGATGACACTTAATTCCAATAAACTCACATTATGCTGTGTTATAAACTTCATAGTAAACTAGTTTCTTTACAGCATGTTAAGTGTGTAAATATAAGAACCAATAAACTCTACCTTTGATCTGCTTTAAAAGAGAATTTAAGTAATATTAGTAAGACATAAATTAGCCCAGCTGGTGTGGCCCAGTGGTTGAGCATTGACCCATGCACCAAGAGGTCGCCGGTTGGAATCCCAGTAGGGGACGAGCAGGAGGCAGCCGATAGATGTTTCTATTTCTCCCTCTTCCTTCCTCTTTCTATAAAAATCAATAAAAACATTTTTTTTAAATTTATTTATATTTTATCCTCACTAAAGGACATTTTTCCATTTTTTGTTCAGATAGAGAGGGAGAGAGAGGAAGAGAGAGAGAGAGAGAGAAACATCAACGTGAAAGGTACACATCAAGTGGCTGCCACCCACACGGCCCAGGACAAACTGCAACTGAGGTACGTGCCCTTAGTGGGAACCACACCCGGTTCTCTCTGGACTGCACGCCGACGTTCTAACTGCTGAGCCAAACCAGCCAGGGCAAAATAGTTTTTTTTTAAAAGACACAAATTGTTTTGAATCAGTCGAATAGAGGTTGGTTCACTTTTCTTCTTTCAGAACAGTTGTCCTCTGTGTAAAATGGAAAAAAGTTTGGTCTGAATCTCAGTTCTGCCACTTGTAGGCAAGTTGCTTGGTCTCTCTAAGCAAAACATTGTGTGAGGCTTAAGAAAATTACAGATTTTATTTAGTGTCCCAAGTATAAACGAGTAAGATCTGTCTGTCCTCAAATTAGAAGAACTAAGTTTCTAGATTAAAACCAACTTCACCTTTGGCATCCACGCTGGTATCAGCTTATCTTCGAAGGGGGTCATGTGGCAGGACCAGGCCCAGACCTTTCTGTACCCAGGTCCTTTTCCAGGGACTAGCCTAGAATACAGTCAGCTTCTACTTGCACT